CGCCGAAGAGTCCCGGTGCCCCCAGCCGCAGGTAGCCATCTTCTGAGCCCGTGGCACAGAAGCTTGAGGAGATGCTGATACTGTTGATAGCGATCCCAGGGCCTGAAAACCCAAAAGAATGATACCACCTTGTACAGCTGAAACGTGACAACTCAAATTTAGGGTTGCCCCATCCAAGGGCTGAGTCCAACAGTCCCAGAAGTAGCAGACAGGAATTCCACTGTGACTGACCTCATAGGCTGAAGAGTCCCAGTCAGCCCTTCTCAGGACTCAAACCACGTTCAGTCCTCATCCCTTTCCAGCACTCCTCTTTACCACCATGCAGTTCTTGCCAGGCACCGAAAATTCTTACCACTTGTTAAACCTGGCCTTGAAGAGGATCTTGTAGCAAGGGATGTCCTAGATAAACTGCCTGAGGCACAAAGCCCTTTCACTACAATGTCTCAAATCTTCTCTGCAGTGTAGTGAGAAACGAGAGACAACAGGGATCTACAGAAACTGGGATTTTTTGCTTCAGGTATAAAGCCCATCAGTCAAAAGCACCGGTGAGAGCCAACGGTGCTGCCAGAAGGACACCCAAGGACATCATTTCATCTCCTCTTAGGTGTTTTCTCACCCATGAAGCAAGAATTGGAGTTACGTATCTCCCAAAGGGGCATGTTCTAGATTAATTAGCTCGATATGCCAAAGCAAACTACACACTAAGTTTTAAGATATCAGATCAATCACACTTGAAAGTGAATTATTCCCACTGTTAGAATTAACAGAAGGCCTGAAAGCTGCACTACTTAGTGTGGAGCAACAAAGATTTCCCAAACACTCTGCATAGGCTGAATAATGAAAAAATAATCCCCAAATTCATCTTTTTCGTTGGTCTGCACAGCTCTTTTTCCATCTCTACATTAAGGCTCCCATCAGCAAATTAAGACCTTGTTTCATGTTTCTAAAAGCAGTGCTTCTCTGAAAGTGCAATCAGCATTTAAAATGCTAAAATCCTTTCTTAAAACGATACTTTGCTGTACTAAGGAAGATTATTTGCAGCCCTTCGAGAGGCAAATAGCCAGCAATGATCTAATCAACCCAAAAATAAACCTTGGTGATAGGTAAACAGCTGGTTTATTTTACTGGCCACTTGGTTTGGGGTCTGTTTCTGACGTTGGGCAGAAAACTCTTACCTGCGCCGCCGCCCGCCTTCTCCTGCCGCTGGGGCCATGCGGGCAGGAGCCGCCGCATGTTCCTTATGCTGACATTCTTGTAGTCCACCTCCAAGATGTGACCGCTCTTGCTGCAGACAAAGCTGTAAAGGAAGGAGAGAGGCCCCTGCTTCGGCACGCCAGGGTTAAGAGGAGCTGTGCCGGTGTGGTTTAGTAAAAAAAAAAAATCAGCTTGGTTTACCCGTTAAACTGTTTGCCTGATGGAAAGCTGGTTTGCAGGTCAATGAGGTGTCCAAAGGCACCTTTCCCTGCAAATCTACAACCGAGTCAGAGCTTCTCTATTTTATTTCTTGCCCCTTGGAAACATTAATCAGCAAAAGACCATAAAGCTTAGTGTAGACTTTGGAAAGGAATCTCTTCTTGCCAATAGCTCTGCCTTTTTGGAACAGTATGCGGTAGCAACAAAGGTCTGGCTTCAACAGTTAAAATAACACCGTAACAAAAAAAGCGTGTGTGTGTCTATGGGCAAGAGGATATGCCCCACAGCCCTCCTGCTGCCGCCAGAAAGTGAACCACAAGCCTCAGGTCAGGGAGAGATTCACTAAATATGGCAAAACATCAGCAGAGCAAGAAGAAAGGCTAATTTCTTGGGCTGTTCTGCAAGGAGCCAAACCTCTTTTGGGAAGTGAAGCACACTGAGGAAGGAAAACCCAAGCAAAACACTGTGGTCCCACATGGCAAAGAGGATGCTAAAGGCAGCCCAGAGCTGTTGAGCTCCATCCTGACAGGCTGCCCGGCGGAGGGCTGATGGTGGAGCCTTACAGTGTGCGGTCCTCGGTCTCCCGCATGGCCGTGTGCCCCTCCTCGAAGGCCAGGTCGGTGAATTCCAGGGAATGGTACTCGCCCAGATTGACGGGACACGAGCGCAACGCTCCGCTCCGCACTCGCCACAGCCTGACGTTGTCCCGGCCGCATGACACCATCCTGTCCCGAGAAAGTACCGCGTGAGGACCAGGGGCAGGACTCTGCAAGCTCCTGGCAAAAGGTCAGTGTCCCAAAGGGCCTCGTCCAGCCATGAGGACTGAGAACGGGAATGGCAACCCCAGCACCCGGCCTGGATGGCTGCAGCACCAGATTCCCCGCCACAGCCACATCAGAACCGATGCTTTTATTTTCTTTGCATGTTATACCTGGTATCATCAAAAAAAGCAATCTTCAAGGCCTGGATGTCCACATCTGTATGCGCTTTGGCCAGCATGGCCACATCTCCACCACAGGTCACCTCAGCAGCGTTCCACACCACCACCATCTAGAGCAAGAAATGACAAAGTCAGAGTTGCTCAAACATGGAAACCTTGGCAGCAAAAGAGCTTTTCACCACAGCGGGTGCATAAGAGAGCCTGCTCCAGAGCTGGGCACAAAGTATCAATAAAAGCTGAAACAGGAGATAAAAACCCAAACCTCTCGCACAGAGGGTTTAGGACAGTCCAACAGCTTTGCAAAGCTTCATGGCAATATACTTGCCTGGCATCCATAATTATAGGTTCTAAATCCCAGGGCTGCCTGGCAACAGGGCTCAGGCTTGGAAAGAAAATGAACAGAAGAGTGGGAATTCTGCCTGCTGAGATACAAGAGCTCAGCCTGCCCGAGCTGGAGGTAGCACGTGTCTGGCTGTGCTGGCGCTTTGCTACAAGGGGCAAGAGAGTCAAACCCTTTCTCCAAAGCAAAGGAGGAGACAGGTGAAGAAACACAGCTGATTTCATGCTCTAAACAGCCAAAAACAGACCCAGCATCACCTCAGATGGGCTGAGGCATCATCCAGGTGTTCCTGGCCAGCCCCTCCCAGCACCTCCCATTCTCCCATCCTGCTTTTGATCCCTCCGCCCGTTTCAGCTGACACAAGCTGGGGAAGAAAAAAACCAGAGCATTGTTTGTTTTCACAGCTAGTGACAGCACAGGTAATTGCTGGTGGTCGTCAATAAGAGATCAGTGGATGAAAACAGCTCCACTGATAAAGTAAACCCCTCAGTCTCGTGGAACAATTTTATTCTTGACTGCTACATGTGGGATCTGCGTCATCCCCTAGCTGCATCGGTGGGCGGCAGCTTCGTCGCCCAGCATCCCTTCCAGCAGTGACGCCTGCAATGCTCGCAAATGAAAGATTAAACCTCACATCTTGCCCTAAACGCTATTAAAAAAAAAAAGGGGGGGGGTTCAGGCTCCAGTCAGCAACTCCCATTGCTTCATCACGTGCTTGTAAACCTTCGAGCTCGAAATACCACACAAACCCTCAGCCCGGTGGGGCACAACACCCACGGGGTGCAGGCAGAATCACACAGCCGCCTTCGTCACCGCACCCGGAGCTGGGACCACCGCAGGGACAGAAACAGCCCCAAAGCTCAACCCGAGCGGGTCTCTCGGGCTGCTTCTGAAAGGATTTGTTTGCTTGCAGCTGCAGAATGTGCATGCAGAGCAAGCGTCGGGTAGAAGGGAGAATTTTCTAAGTAGCTAAAGAGAAAGGGAACTCCCTTTCACTATGGTGAAGAATATGTCTAGGAAAGCCCAGAGCAGTGCTTTGTCTGAAAAGTAACTACATAAACTGAGAGAATAGCCACCTTGCATTGCTTTCTTGCAGCGTATGGAAACCTCTAAAACCAAGTTGCAGTTCTCACCGTTTTGCCGTGCTCATCCTTCCCGACGCCACACAGAATGGCTCCGCTGTGGGAAAAGCTGCAAGAAGAGGCCCCCTGGTGAAACGCAGCTCTTCGTACCCCAATGCATCTCCATGGGGAATAAAAGGAGACAAGTTGTGGCTATGAGGAGACAGCAAGATCTGAGGGATAAGCTCGGGAGGAAGCTGGCAGGGTATCGGCTGCTCTGAGCCAGCTGCCAGCAGGTCTTGGTGATAAACCCATGCAGCTGAAGAGCTATAATTCACCCCAGGTTTATCGTGCACAAAAAGCAGAGAAAAGCTGCAGGGCTGCGACGCTCAACCCACCCGAACGCATCCCTGCGCCTGGGCTGAAACCCACCTCAAGGACAAAAGGGAGTGGACGTGGGTTTTAAACACCGCGAGACAGCTGCCCCTCGGGAAGTCCCAGAGACGCACTACGCTGAGGGGACCAGCCTGCGCGGACGCCAGCAAGGTGCTGTTCCCATTGAAGGCCAGCGCCGAGACCTGCGGGACACACCGAGAGGTTCTTGAGAAGATTTGAGAGCAGAAGGACACATCTGGGGTACAAGGACAGCGCTGCTGTCGGGCTTCGTAAGGAGAGTTATGCTCACCTTATCCGTGTGTCCAATGAAGAACCTCTGCTCTCCGGTTCGGATCTGCAGGGTCACAATGATGGCATGGCAGGGGTAGACCACCGCAGCATTGTCTTGAGTCCACAGGGCCTGAAGAGAGAAGAAGTGAGAGGGCTGCAGACCCTCCAGAGGTGCCTCAGGTGCTAGGCTGGACCCATAGAGATTTCCTTCCACAGGAGATCTGCTGCATGGGCAAGAGGATGCTCTCCCACACAAATATTCTTCTACATCACAAAGGAAAACTAAGAGCCCAGCCAACACCCTACTTAATTCAGTGTATTTACCAGACCAGTTGTGTCTACTACATGAACAGCAGATACCAGAAAAATTATGTTGTTGGCAGAGCCTTGAACTGGCTGAACCAAAATGGCCCTTTCTTCACCCTAACACAGAGTGCAAGCTGGGCTCCTGCAAGGCACAGTGCCCTCAGGAAAAAAAAAAACCACACCACCACAGCTCTTTCTTTCCTGACTCCTACAAAGCAATTCTAATTTTAATGTGTTAAAACACAGAAGCCATGAGACTTAAAAGCCCCCGTAATTTCTAATTCACCACCGTAAAAGCAGAAAACCCGCGTGCAAACACAAGATCATGGTTTGGGGTTATTTTCCCCATCAAATGCAGGAAGCGCAGCACTCGGCTGCCTCCAAAAAAATCCACCTGTGATTACACACCAACTCCCCAAACTGTTCTGAGCTACTGACCCATTTGGTGCTGTAGCCTCCGAAGCCAATAATCATTCTCAGCTTCAGGATGGGATCTGGTAAGAGCCTCTGGGAAAAAAAAGACAGCACCATTGCATCCGGAGCCGGATCGAGGTCCTTCACCCCACAGGGCCCCTCCATCCCCAGTGCTAGGTTCTAAATCACAGAGGGAGCTTTGCGTTCTCTCCCATTAAGGGGATGGTTTTGAAGTCAAATGAAGTCAAAGCTGGCAGGAGGGAGGAGCTGGGATTTCTCAACTCTTCCACCCAGGCTGTGGGGTTACAGTCAGTCCTTCCCAGAACCCTGGCGATGCCCAGAGCCGGCAGCTGCTGCGGGCAGAGTTGTCCTCTTACCCTGCAGGCAGAGCTTCTCCTCACGGACGGCATGATGGGTCCTGGGCCCTTCCTGTACACACTCTGGGAAAATCAGTGAACGTACGTTATTAGTTTATTGTCACAGTATTTGAACACAGAGTCCCTCTTTCAAGACAAGTAAGACACTAGTGGAAAAGAGAACTGCGAGTCAGAAAAAACTAATGCCAGCAATCCTCAGAATTAACTGAAACTCCAGCCTGAAGCTTGCGTTCCCTCTGCAGCTTCTGCCAGGCTCAGAAGCATCCCAAGGCCACTCTCGGGTTGCTGTGACTCCTCCGTGCTTCACCCACCTCCTCTGAGCTGGCGCGGACAGCTTGGACAGTTTGGTTGCTCCTTTGGTGAGAGTACACGTGGATGCTGCCACCACTGACTGCCGACAACTGCCCCGCACTGCACGGTCTCAGGTTCTTCTCTAGCTCCTGGTCTGCAGCAGGCGTGGCTCTTGGAGGCCCTGAGGCTGTCAGATGAACTTCAGGGATGCTTTTCGTAATTACGGGACGCCGGCGTGGCACCTGAGAAAGAGCAAAGTCTCAGAGACCAGCCCTCCACCAACCGCAAAGGCAGAGACAGGGAGAGACTTGCACCCCTCCCGAGCCCCACAAGCCAGGTGGAGGGACAGCATCCCAGTTCAGAGCAAAGTGGTCAAGATTCTCATTTTCTCTCTCTCCATGGTGCGAAAAGGATGGCTTCTCCCAGCCCCTCTCCAAAAGCCCAACATCTGGTAAGCTGGTCTGAGCACCAGCTCCCACATCACCATCAGCAGGGAAGGGGAAATTGAGGGCAGCTGCTCGCTCCCTGAGGGCACCCCACCAACTTCTTCAGTCTCCAGTCCTCATTTCCTATCTACAATTTGAAAACACAACTATTTGCTGCCTCAGCTGCGACAGGGAGGATAGATGTCTGGAGATTATGAGGTACTTGGCATTTATCTTGTCTCTGCTCTGTGCTACGCCAGACTGAAGCACCCATACATTCACTGTGGGGTTGCAGTCAACAGACCATGCCTAGATCAGGGGACTGACCCACCTGGAGCAGCTGCAAACAACAAGAAGCAGCTTCTACGTCCTAAATAAAGGAGCTCAAAGAAAAGACGTGGGGAGAAAAACTTCACGGGAGGCAGAATGAAAGAAGTTGCAGCCTCCTCCAGGGTACACTTACAGCTTCGGGGCTGGTTATCTGATGGACGAGGGACAGTCGGTCGCGGCCCACTTTAGTGAGCATCACCGGCTGGGGCAGCTGGTGGACAGAGTCCTCCGAGACTTGGCCACCTGGCTGACACGAGGAGCGGGTTGGGCTCTTTTCGGAAACCCAAGGTACACATGCCGGAGTGGTGGCACAGCCTGGGCTGTTGTCCCCAGCCTTCCCACCTGCCTCGGGACCAGGGCAGCTCTTCTGGATGGAGTCGTATGGCAGCTTGGACCCCTCAGATGGGAACCTGAGCAAAATGAGAGGAAGGCACTGGGTTATCGGGATATAGCACTGGCACCTGGAAATCCTGCTTGGTAAGTTGGTGCTCAGCACAAAATTCCTCCTTTTGCCCCATCCTCCCCCAAATACAGGGATGCTAAAGCATCTCCCAGGCCTGACTTACACCATTACTTTCCAAGGGTTAACCTGGCACTTTGGGCAATACCACTAAGTCAACAACTGTGACGAGCTGCAATTTCTAACCAACACGGTTCTCTGGCACAAACCTCAGCACTGAGGGGAGCCCAGCGCCGAAGCTGAGGAAGGTACATTCACATCTCCCCCCTGCCCCAATGACAGGCCAGGAGATTACCCTTTATCTCAGCAAGAGGCTGAAACACTCCCCACGAACAGCTCACAGAGAAGAAAGTTTGGATTACGCTAAGCTAGCCACGGGAGCAATCCCAGCAAAAGAAAGAGAATTAACTGATGTTAATGTCAGGCACGAGAGCGCTCCACAGCCTTTTTCCTGCCCCAAACTATCACCCATCAGCAATTAAGTTTAGGCCAGTATAGGTGCGCTAACGACACCTAAGCACTGGAGTTGGGGTGACTGGAAGGTCTCCACTTGACTCCCAGGTTTGTGAGGATCAGTCATTGCTTCAGCGGTGTTACCCGCCCTGCCTCCCCAGGGGAATGGGGAGGTCTCGGCGCTGCAGTGGGTTCAAGTGCAGCCAGGAGCAGCCCTACCTAATGTAGTCGTAGAGATCATGCCAGTTCTCTCCCTTGGGCACAGGGAAAGCCATTTCCCGTGGCATGGGAGCCACCCCGCGGCAGGCCAGCTCGGCTCGACGTGCCTCGGAGAAGGTCACACCTGGCAGCACAGAGATAAAGATAAAGAGATAAATTCTCCAAGGTCTACGGAGCCGGCTGAAATCCTGTTTCCTGTGGGACACGGGCACAAACCTCTTCCCTCTTTGTGAAAGTCTGAAAAGCCAAGATTATAAGCCCCAGGTCTGTAATAAACTAACTCACTTTTGCACGGGAATATTCCTGAAAATCTCAACTGACCCCAGAGCATCAATCCTTCGTATGGAGTTATAAATCCCCTCCGGCCCAAGATTCACTTAGTTTTCCATTTGGTAATTCAGCAATTTCACATGATTTGTGTTAAGGCTCTGTTCTCGTTTTCCTGTCTTCTTTCCTTCATAAAAGTCTTCAAGATATAAGAAATTTTGGAAATCCAAGAGCAGCTTCTATAACTTCCTCCTCACTGATGCTTTCCAGCAGGCCAGTCTGTACAGGCAGATTTCCAGCCCAAAAGAAGAAAGGCAAAAACAAAGGTTTTGACTAAAGTATCTCTGCCACACTGAGCAGGTGGATAAAAAAAAGGGACAATGGAAGATTTCTGAGTCAAAAAAACCACAGTCTTTTCCAGCAGAAAAAAACCCCACAAGCCTAGGAGAAGCAAGGCTTAGTAACACTTTTAATTTTTTTCCCCTGAAAAAAAGTTCTAACTTTGGGAAGACATTTAACTTTGCTCTTATTTTTCACTTTCATAGCTGGAAAAAGAGAAGACAGTGTCCACCAGAGGTCAGGAGGTTGTACTTGCCATCACACGTGGAAACTTAACTTAATCGTACCGAGTATTTTGCCCTTTTTTGCTTCCTGTCCCACTGCTACGGCAACAGCAGCCCAGCGCTCTGCCAGGGCCAACAGCATTGCACCAGCAAAAAGCAACTTTAAATCCCTGTGGGTCCCACCCAGGCTGGCTTGAATCCACAGGAGAAACCAAAAGCCACCCCAAGGTCTCAGCAACTCACCTGGTTCAAACACCAAGTCGCTGGTGCAGAGGTTTTTCACCAGGAGGTTGGAGCAGAGCTTGACACTCTTCAGGTGGCTGTAGCGGCGGTTGAGGTAGAGGGAGAGGATGGAGCGGAGGTCCAGCACCAGGCAGATCCAGCGCACGTCTGCGGGGGCTGCACCCAGCAGGTCTGCGGTAGCAAAAGACAGAAGAAGGTGCTACAGACCTTGGACCTCTCAGAAAGGAGGGAGATGCAAGATTAATGCAGTTAAATAAAAGGGATCTCCCAGGCAAGGCTCCCACCAGGCTCAGGCTTGCGTGTTCCAAGCTGGGAGATAAGGGAAAAAAAGAAAAAAGAAAAAAAAAAGGGTGAGGAAGAACAGAGAAGGTCCAGCTCAGGACTCTCCACTCTTCACTCTCCTTGAATGCATGGAGGCAACTTCCAAATTCCATTTATTTCCTAACAGTTTATTTTGTGGGCGATGCGCCAGCCCAGCTTTGAGCAACTCACCGCGCCGGGCCGGGCGGTCGGCCGCTGAGCCCTGGTCCGTTTCGCAGATGAAGGGGAACTGGAGCCAGGTGGCCGTGGACCTGAACTCCTTGAAGAGGGTCGAGAAAGAGATGCGGACCACCTGGTTTTCCTGACAAGATAAGAGAGAGACACAAAGAGCTTTAGTCACCCTGGTGGCATCAGCAGGGAGTGCTGCTGAGAAGATGTGTCTCCTGTCCCCTCTGTGTCCCTTGTTGAGATGCGATAAAGAGGGTAACCACCTCCAAAACGGGGTAACCCACCAGCAGCAAGAAAGACCATCCCGCTTCCACACCCCTAAGTGCTGCAGAGCACCGCTGCCACCCTTCAACCATGTCGTGATGGCAGTTTCAAGGGGCTGTCCCCATGTCACCTACCTGGGTGGTGACGTCCAGGTGGACGAGGAAGTGCTTGTGGGGCATGGGTCTGAAGAGCAGGTAGAGGTAACGTCCCACCAGCCCCAGCGACTGTGTCCCTGT